GTGAACTGAAGAGGGGGAGCAAGGGCCAAGACTATTTACTGGACTGTGTGGATCAGATGGCCTGGCACATCAGTCCCACAGAAGTATAAGGCTCTAGTAGATACCGGTGCACAGTGTACCCTGATGCCATCAAGCTGTCAAGGGGTGGAACCCATCTATATTTCTGGAGTAACAGGAGGATCCCAAGAGTTGACTGTGCTGGAGGCTGAAATCAGCCTGACTGGGAGGGAATGGCAAAAGCACCCTATTGTGACTGGTCCAGAGGCTCCATGCATTCTCGGCATAGACTACCTCAAGAGAGGGTACTTCAAAGACCCAAAAGGGTACCGGTGGGCTTTTGGTATTGCTGCTTTGGAGACTGAGGAAATTGAGCAGCTGTCCACCTTGCCTGGTCTCTCAGAAGATCCCTCTGCTGTGGGGCATTTGTCTCAATCCCTTTGGCAGCAGAGTGCAGGCCAGTTTGCTGATACTTGGAGGGCCCTCCAATACACTTGGAATTGACCGTCCCAGGGCTGGAAAGGCAGCCCTACCGTCTGCCATGGGTTAATCCAGAATGTACTGAAACTGGGGCAAGCTCCAGAACACCTACAGCAATGTCTCCGCCAACTAATAAGAAAGAAACGCAAGCTTTCTTGGGTGCAGTGGGGTTCTGGAGAATGCACATCCCAAATTACAGTTCGATTGTAAGCCCTCTCTATCATGTGACCCGGAAGAAGAATGATTTTAAATGGGGCCCTGAGCAGCAACAAGCCTTTGAGCAAATTAAACGCGAGATAGTTCATGCAGTAGCCCTTGGACCAGTCCGGACCGGACCAGATGTAAAAAATGTACTGTACACTGCAGCTGGGGAGAACGGTCCTACCTGGAGCCTCTGGCAGAAAGCTCCAGGGGAGACTCGAGGTCGACCCCTCGGCTTTTGGAGTCGGGGATATAAAGGATCTGAGGCCAGCTATACCCCAACTGAGAAAGAAATACTGGCAGCCTATGAAGGGGTTCGAGCTGCTTCGGAAGTGATTGGCACTGAAGCACAGCTCCTTCTGGCACCCCGGCTGCCCGTGCTGGGCTGGATGTTCAAAGGCAGGGTCTCCTCTACACATCATGCAACCGATGCTACATGGAGTAAATGGGCTGCACTAATTACACAACGAACTCGAATAGGAAATCCCAGTCGTCCAGGCATTCTAGAAGTCATCATGGACTGGCCAGAGGGCAAAGATTTCGGAATGTCACCAGAGGAGGAGGTGATGCGCGCTGAAGAGGCCCCACCATATAATAAACTGTCAGAAAGTGAAAAGCAGTATGCCTTGTTTACTGATGGCTCTTGCCGTATTGTGGGAAAACATCGGAGATGGAAGGCAGCTGTATGGAGTCCTGGACGACAAGTTGCAGAAACTGCTGACGGAGAGGGTGAATCGAGTCAGTTTGCCGAGGTGAAAGCCATCCAGCTGGCCCTGGACATTGCTGAACGAGAAAAGTGGCCAGTACTTTATCTCTATACTGACTCATGGATGGTGGCAAATGCCCTGTGGGGGTGGTTGAAGCAGTGGAAGCAGAGCAACTGGCAACGCAGAGGTAAACCCATCTGGGCTGCTGCACTGTGGAAAGATATTGCTGCCAGGGTGCAGAACCTGGTGGTGAAGGTACGTCATGTAGATGCCCATGTACCCAAGAGTCGGGCCACTGAGGAACACCAGAACAACCAACAAGTGGATAAAGCGGCTAAGATTGAAGTGGCTCAGATGGACTTAGATTGGCAACGTAAAGGTGAATTATTTTTGGCCCGGTGGGCCCATGACACTTCAGGCCATCAGGGCAGAGATGCAACATATAGATGGGCCCGTGACCGAGGGGTGGACTTAACAATGGACACTATTGCCCAGGTTATTCATGAGTGTGAAACATGTGCTGCAATTAAACAAGCCAAGCGGTTAAAGCCTCTTTGGTATGGAGGACGATGGTTGAAGTATAAATATGGGGAGGCCTGGCAGATTGACTATATCACACTGCCACCAACCCGCCAAGGCAAGCGCCATGTGCTTACCATGGTGGAAGCAACCACCGGGTGGCTGGAAACATACGCCGTGCCCCATGCCACTGCCCGGAACACCATCCTGGGCCTTGAGAAACAAATTTTGTGGCGACACGGCACCCCAGAGAGAATTGAGTCAGACAATGGGACTCATTTCCGGAATAACCTTATAGATATTTGGGCCAAAGAGCATGGCATTGAGTGGGTATATCACATCCCCTACCATGCACCAGCCTCTGGGAAAATCGAACGGTACAATGGACTGTTAAAAACTACACTGAGAGCGATGGGTGGGGGAACTTTCAAGCATTGGGATACACACTTACCAAAGGCCACCTGGTTGGTCAACACCAGAGGATCTGCCAACAGGGCTGGCCCAGCCCAGTCAGAACTGTTACATATTGTAGAGGGGGACAAAGTTCCCGTGGTGCATATGAAGAATTTGCTGGGAAAGACAGTCTGGGTAATTCCTGCTTCAGGTAAAGGCAAACCCACTCGTGGGATTGCTTTTGCTCAGGGACCTGGATATACTTGGTGGGTAATGCGGGAAGATGGGGAAGTCCGATGTATACCTCAAGGGGATTTGATTTTAGGGGAAAACAGCCAGTGAACTCAATTGTATGCTGTTGCCTGCTGTGTAATGCTTTTATAGCCCATCAACTAGATGTCTCCAGGTCACCAGCGACTGGCCCTGACTTCCCTCCAGCCATCATCCCAACAGAGAATGAACTTTGAACATCATGGACCGAATGGACTCGGCAGCATTATAGGGATTGGTCCATGCACTAAGAAAATGATTTTTCCTCTTGGTCTGTATGTATATGGATGTATATATGTGGGAGAGCGATGGTGTATTGAAAAATGTGGGATCTGAGCACGACGTGAATGGTATGGAATAAGGGGTGGATAATGTCCTGGGTTCCGCAGTAGCAGTCATGTTTTTCCTTTGTGTTAACTGGTACAGTGCTGTGTTTTGACTTCCAGTTTGAGAACAGTGTTGGTGAAGCCGATGTTCTCGGTTGTTGCTAAGTGATGTTTACCCTGACCAAGGACTCTGTGAGGCTCATGCTCTGCCAGGGAGGAGGGGAGGCTGTGAGGAAGCAGAGACGGGGCGCCTGACCCGGGCTAGCCGGGGAGGTATTCCATACCACAGCACGTCATGCCCGGGGTGAGGGGTAACTGGGAGTGACCCGGAAGGACAGGGGTTTCCGGGTGGAGCTCGTTTCTCTTGGCCGGTGGTATCGTTATTTTCTCTTGTTGTAGCTGATAGTAGCCTTGTTATTTTCTCTCTTCCTCCCCGTTCCTCCGGGATCATTGTTGTAACTCACTGGGAGTGAGTGAACAAGCTACCTGACTGGGTTTAAACCACGACAGCTGGCAACACTATATTGTCCAAGATAATGTTCTGAATAGTGGTAAGACAAAATAAAAGAAACAAAGAAATATTAAAATAATAAATTCAGTACTGCTAAAGGATAAGGGCAAAGCTGTTTTTTATATATTATCCTTACTTTTTTATTCCTCTTATTATCACCTTTATTATATGTGGAATTAGTTTCAATCGGTTCACCCTAATCCATAGAGTGGTCTTCATGGCACTCTGTCATTGTTATTTAATAAAGGTAGATATTGCATTTAGGGAAAGGATTATTAAAATGAACTCTAAGTCAGAACTTAAAAGTAGTGTGAGATTTCAAATACAAAGGTAAGGAAACAAACAACAGAGAGAGGTGGTGAAGGAGTAAGATAGAATGTGCTTTGGATTTAAACACATTAACGTCTGCTCTAATAACCAAAGTAAAATGTAAAGTTCCTGAGAGTGTGGTGTTTCAGATCATACCTTGTAGGACTGATAACCATTTTATTCAGCTTACCTGAAAAGAACCCAAGCCTAGCTCAACATAAAGGCGAGCTTCCAAGCCAGTGCTTTCTGGGAAAAATGCAAATACAATGTAGTGCACTCCAAAGAGGGGGATTAAGAGTAACGTGGATTTAGCAAGTCTCCTGTCAAACCAAGAATTAAAGAACAATGCACTGTCAGAAATATGGAATTAGTGATAGCAGTGATATGTTGGACCAAATTTTAATGCAGAGGACAGTTCCATAATGGAAGCAACGACATCCAACAAAGTTACAGAAAGATTACTTTCTGCTACCCATACTGTCAACACCTGGTGAAAAACAAGATGAACAAATCAGCATGCAAGTTTTCTGGGTTGACCTTTAAGGGTTCTTCTCCCTGCTATACATGCAAAAACAGGGGGACCAAACTGAGTACTATGATCAATTACCCTGAGATTAACCTCAATCACATGTAGGCATCCCCCAATAGAAGTGTCTCAACTTCCAAAACTGCCAATGGAGATGTAATCATCAGTGTCTATAGGAGCTGATTCAGTTGCTTAAACAGTGGTGTTGTAGCCACTGGTGATGCCCTTGGGCATTCTGCTTGGCCTTCAGCTCACTCCAGAAGGGTACAGGTTTGTGCTAGGTCCTGTGACAGAACTAACATCTATCCCTACATATCTTTAGATGAGTTAAACAGCTCACTAGATTCCACTGATGAGAGCTCCATTAATTATGAAGGGGTTTGTAAATAGGAAGGGCTAGGTTCAGTTACCAGCACATCATCTTCACATTGTTTCTAAAAGTTTAAAGGAAATATCTGCATCTTTCTCTGTGTGGTGATTTGTGTGGAAAGGACTAGAAGCAAGATGGATTACCTGACATTCAATGTTTGCACTTTGAAGCAACAACTCCTTTTGGAGTTGTACTTCATTTTTGCTTTTCTCTTTGTCCCCATCATATCCAACCCACCCTTCTCCTCTTGAAGAAAAAGAGAGAGGTGATATTTTTGATGAAAAAGAACGTTTACATTGTTATTTCTTCTGGGGATTTCTTTTTCTATTAATAAGGAGTAGAACATTTTGTGTTCCTGACCATAAAACGTTTCTTAGAATTTCATAGAACAGGCCAATATCAAGAGACCCAGAAACACTTACACAAAGTGGCTTGAATGGCTCCCTCCTCCCTCTTGAGATTTCAATTTGTGGACTAGAATTCTGATCACATTAATAAATATAATAAAGTTAATCTGAAAAACAAGACAATATCTGTAAACTTACTGCAAATCAGTTGATCTCTTCAGTTGATACAAATTAACTAAAAATCCCCAGCCATAGGAATTGCACTGCTATAAACCAGTGAAGGTCTGCTCTTAGATCAATTCAATTGCATTAGAAACAATATTATTTTTTCTCAGAAAAATATATATAAAGATATGCTGAAAGCTATATTGAATTAATATAGACCTACATACCTCAGTATTGGTTTATATGTGATATTAACTCTGTACTTGTCAGCACCTAGCAGATTTTATGTGGTCTAATCAGCACCTTCTATTCCCTTCATTGTCTATGACAGGGATTATACCAGATACAGATGAGTGACATAGTGTTTCCTCCCTAAATTTGCATAAAATAAACTTATGCATAAAGGGAATCTTTTGTCTTAAGTTTACAACCTAAGAATTTATTTTAAAAATAAACTACATAAAATTATCTGTATGTATTTCCTGTACTAATCCAGCTTCATATTAGCTAAGAATTTTGCTGGTATGGATTGTCTTTCTTCAGTAATGACTTACAGAGACACGGGCAAAAATGTCAAGATGGTTTCATTATGTCATACCATGACTCTAGAAAATATAGGATTTAGTCTTTAGGTTGTGATTTAGGGTACACAAGAACAAACCCACATGCTATACAATAATTTCCATCTTTTTGAAATTCAGCACCATAGCATGTGCTATTGCTTTTCCCAGCTTGCTGACAGGAGGCACTAACTTAGATTTCACATTTCAAAAGATACTCAAGACAAAAAGAAAACATACTAGTACAGTTAGCAGAATGGGACCTTTGATGATCCATAGCACTATTCCACTTTCATCATCATCCCAACATCTGAAACAGTAAACAAGACCAGTCATGTTATCTGTCCCATGTGAGCTTTCCGTAACACATGAAAGTATTTCTGTCACAGAATAGGAAAGTGATGGACACTAAGTTCTAAATTACCATTTAAAGGCCGCTGCCAGTACTGGTACTCTGAAAGCTCTCTCAATATTTCTGTGCAGCCCAATCTAAAGGAAGTTTATTCAGTAAGAAGCAAGGGTTAAAGAACCAAAGCAAAGTCAAGAAATGAACATTTGTATTTTCAGGCTTCTTTCCTGCTTTTCTGTTAAAGAAGTGACTAGTTTACAGAGTACAGATCAGAGACTAAGCTACTGTGCATTCATGAATGTAATGACTTTGTGTTCATGAGGAAATAGACAAGAAAAACCTAAAGCCCTAGAAAAGATACCCTAAAGGAAGGGAGAAGAATGGTCTTTTGGCCAAAACAGCCTGTTTTGAGATTCATGTATTTAACCTCAATAACAGTTCAATTTAACTCCCTCCAGTCATATGCCATACATGTTAGGTTGTATCATAGAATCATAGAATAGTTAGGATTGGAAAGGACCTCAAGATCATCTAGTTCCAACCCCCCTGCCATGGGCAGGGACACCTCACACTAAATCATATCGCCCAAGGCCTCATCCAGCCTGGTCTTGAACACTGCCAGGGATGGAGCATTCACGACTTCCATGGGCAACCCGTTCCAGTGCCTCACCAACCTTACAGTAAAGAACTTTCTCCTTATATCCAATCTAAACTTCCCCTGTTTAAGTTTTAACCTGTAACCCCTTGTCCTATCACTACAGTCCCTAAGAGTCCCTCCTCAGGATCCCTATAGCCCCCCTTCAGATACTGGAAGGCTGCTATGAGGTCTCCACACAGCCTTCTCTTCTCCAGGCTGAACAGCCCCAACTTTCTCAGCCTGTCTTCACACTTCAGAGCAGCTTTTAGTAAACAATTTCCTGCTTTATAACTGGCTCTCATATTGAAAGAGAATGGAAAAAAAGAACCAAAACCAAATTCATCAGGACATAATATGTTTTCTGGAAGGTAATTATTTGAAGAGATTAGTGTTACTAAATTGTGGCTGATTTTATATAGAAGTATATATTTCAAAGACTTCATATTAGGAAACTACATGAAATTCAATACTTACTATGATATTTCCAGGTTTTATTACTCCACATATGCACATCACAATCAAGATTTTCTGTCACTTGCTTATGAAGTGCAAAGTTTAAACGCACAACTTTGGAAATTTTTTTTTCTTTTTTTGTTTTTTATGTATATTCCTCCCCCCTCCCCCCCCCAAAAAAAAAAAAAAAAAAAAGCCACCACCAACAACAGCAAAAGCGCCTCCTTAGTGAAGCTCTGACTTACCCGGTATTTTGTTGGTTTATTCGAGTGAGGACCCAAGCAAACATCACAGCAGTGGGAGCCCCTGAATAAATCAATATTGAACACATAATTTTCTGAACACTGTGTCCCATAGAAACTTTATCCCAAGACTGTTCACAGTGCAGCAGATTGGATAAACATTAAAGGTCAAACAATGGGTCAGAAAATTTTAAATAACTTTATGAAAGAACTTAACTTGCAGTTCAAGGAAAGAAAAGAAAAGGCAGGAGAATGAAGTCAAGACGAAGAAGAATAGGGGATGCTGCGAAATGGTGTTTTCAAAATTAACAGCTAAGAATTGCTGGAAGGTTTGGATATGAATTACAAGCACTTGTGAAGCTGGAGAAACCACTCATTTAGTTAGAGCTCCTTTATCTTATAGATTGTGGCCAGCATACAACTCTTTGCACTAGCTGGAATAGTTCATATTTTTGTCCCAGGCAGCCTCTACTAATCACTCTAGACCCATAAACTAGTGAGCATGCCATGAAAGTTTAGCTAAACCCAAGAACCGGTGCTTTCTAGCCTCACTTTATTACTGCTTATCCTTCTTCTTTATGACTAAAAAGTTCTTTCTCTTTTTTCCTTTTTTCAAGCAGGCCTATAAACTAACAATTGCTTTTGCTTTTCTTCTGTGGAATTACATTTCTAAAGACTAAGTGACTTTCAAAGCTGATACAAAAAGGACTATAATCTGAGGCAGGTGACATTTTCACTGATAAATCTATAGAAATATCAGTAATATTTTTCTAAGTATCATTTGAGAACTGTAGGAAAGGCCCAGAAGTCGACCTTCCTAATTTTAGACCCTTATTTAAGGCCTTTAAGATGGGACTATATTCAGTTCAAATTGTCTTTGTAATTAATGAAGAGAACTATCTACGTCCGTATCACCTAACACAAGTTGCCTCTGAGATGTCTCATTTTGCATTGATTATAGAAGGAGATGAAGATTACTACATTATTAATTGAGATGTTTCCTTTGTTATCTCAAGTTAGATGAGATTTATCGAGGTTTAAGCATCTAGGTTCAGGCAATCATAATTGGAACAGCTCCAAAAATTTTAATTATATTATAAAAGTCTTAGAATATGAAGATGAAGGATAAATTACTATTTGATTCAGGAGAATCTAGATTTCACTTCAAGCCAAAATATGCCAATGTGACTACTCAATTTGGATGCCTCTATTTTAGAATAGCCAAAGTGAGGTATAAGGATATCTAAGATTCGCAATAAACAATTCTACAGTGAAAGATATTTTATGTATTATGTGCACATATTCTGACAATCAGAGATAACTTTAATTGCTGCATAAAACCAGAAGATTCCTAAAAGCCAGAAGCTTTGTATTTTGGAAAAAAAAAATGTTGATGTCTAGGCATGAAGTCACATAGTTTAAGATGAATCTATCTAATTCTGCACACTAAAAGCAAAATGGCAACTTAATGTTAGTCACCCACATTTCTTCAGTCAGTGGAGGAAGGCAACATGTTTCCAAGATGTTATCTAGCCACATTACTCACATTCTTGAGGACTGGATTAATCACCACCACAGCATGCATACCTCACTCTACTGACTGCAGGAGAAACCTAGATAGATAGTTTAAATTAGATGGTTACATTTTAAATTACTATAGTTGCATGAAATTGCTTCCAGTCATAAAGATGAGTGCTGCAGTGTTTTGAGTAGGCATATCATAGTGCTTCTAGTAATCCATCCTATCCTCTCCTTCAATATTTTGAACAGTATAAAAAGATAAGAAGAAAGACAGTATAATGGTATGGTTTTTGTAGTAGTACTGCATGAATGGGCAACTTCCACTGGAAAGGTGGCACATTTTACAGATGCCTTGAATCTCAGAACAAGTATTTTCTCTAGTTCTGAAAGTAAGTCAAAATACTACATAACACACACAGGAAATGAGTACTAACCCCAGCCAGTAAATATGAACCACCATACATACTGCTTGTCCGAAACAAAGGTTAACAAAAGCAGTGTTTGCAGGTAAATCCCTTCTATAAGAAGCCAGAAGAAATTGGCTAAAACACTGAACTGGAAGAATGCCATAGCAGCCTTACAAGCAACCTGGAAGTGCAGAAGAAGAAAAACTATTAGGTCTACTTTCCATTGTGTCTGGTTTCGCTATAATTGCAAGCAAAATTCACTGTTACCACACAGGAATGAAGAAATAATTACAATATTTCAGTAAGTTTGAAATTCCATAATTTCATTTGGCTTTTTTTTTAAAAAAGGGAAATATTGTCTCTCTCTTATAAATAAAATTCTTTATTAATAGAAATTTTTACAGCTTCATTAGAGAAGACAGACCTGCACCTTATATAACAAAGCTGAGTGTAGCCATAGCAATTCATCTTTAGTTTTTTTAATATTTTTTGTTTTAAGATTTCAGTTCTAGCAAACTAAAGAGAAATGGGATTAAGAAATCTCCATGTTATCTTCAGGTAAAGAATTAAATGTTATATCAAGGATAAATAAGACTGTAAGCTAGTACCGTTGACATTAAGCAGTGGTCCATAGTTTCATCTGCAAACAAAACGGCATCTTTGGTGAAAACAGCAATTGCTCTCAGGATAAAGGAGACAAACAGGTGCATATGGATGTAATTCCGTGTACAGTGGAATTTTCTGACATGGAAAGAGAAAACAAAAATTGTTCTTAAAGAGAAATTTCTTATGGTCTCATCAAAACTCAGGAACACATGACTGCAGACATCTACCAAAGCAAATAAATGGCCTGCCACTATTTGAGAGGGAGCTAGAAATAAGGGAGCAGACGAGTTATTATTTGTTGGCACTTAGGGACATGGCTTAGTGGTGACCTTCACAGTGTTAGCTTAACGGCTGGACTCAATGATCTTAAAGGTCTTTTCCAACCTACATGATTCTATGATTCTATTTCTCTAGACTTCCCTCCCCACAGTTTTACCTGTTGGAATCTCCTTCAAGGTTTGAACATATCAGCCTCTTGGTCCTGGGGCCCTCTATAAATGATACGAACTTTGAGACTCCCAATCCTCTCCAGTTAGGAAGCCGATTCTGTGCTCTGCACTCCCGCCTGCAGAGCAAGCTTAAAGCTTTTGTCCAAGCACATTGGAACCAAACAAAACCAGGATCCATTTCCTAACATCCAACATCATCAAACATGACATTTAAATTTTTTAAATTTCTTTCTATAGCTCCCAGTTATGGAAGTAATGTTTTTTCACAGAGGGAATGGACAGACTAGAATAACTTCTGGTTCAGGCGTAGAAGACAGTTTCTGCAGAGTATGTCCTGCTATGCGCTGGAAGAATTGTGTTAATAGTGATAACAGATTGGAGCATTTTCACTGTATGCTGTCATTAAAAAGACTAGGACAAACTGCCCAGGCAGTTTTAACATCTGCAGGGAAATGCTACAACATGGAGAAGGACTCATTGCCATCAACAGCGTTTATGCCTGAGAAGGACTTGAAAATGGCAATTAAAAAGTCCCATAAAACAAAAAGTACTTTGAGAAGTACGATGAGGCTGTTTCAAGTCATCCTGGGAAAGAGACCATTGCTTTTTACCTGAAGGCAGCAAAGACAATTAGAGCTGTAATGAGTGAAGTCACTGATGCTGCATAGCCAGCAGTGTAGACACGCCAAAATGCAGAATAATATGATTTCTACAAGAAAAAGAGAACACAGACCAGTGCTGGTGGTTATGCAGCATGCATGTGGGTGTGCTTATTTCACTAAGATACATTTTCCCTTACTAGTCAGTTTCACCACTTATGCACAGCTTTGTGTGCTGGAGATCTGCTTCAGGTTTTTTCCTCCATTGCTAACACATCTTTTTTGTCTCTTGAATACTACTAAACCTTAAACATGAGACAGGTTTCACAGCCCACAGGTTTATCTGCAGTAGTGACCCCTTTGAGCAAGTTCAGTAGGAAAATGTTAACTTTATTAAGTAAGTACGTTTTCTTCTATAGGTACATGAAGACTCTAGGGCACTGCTAAAGTGACTGAATCCATCACTTTAGAACAGGGCCAGATTCAATAAGTATTGGTTTTCATAAACAGCTATAGCTAAAAGAGAAGTAAGACTTGCATTTTGAAGGAGACGAAACTGTGTATTGTGTAGGTAAGAAAGTTTAAGTCAAGAAAATAGCTTCACAGTTCTTTGGACGAACAGTTCACCAAGTTGCTCTATACTGTAACACTGTAAATTCTTTATAGTTTATTTGTTTATTTGTTTTGCATTTAAACATCCTATGTCCTAAGAAAAAGGCCTATGTTGCTTTATCTGTGAAAATTCTATTCTGATTCACTACATGATCACCTAATTATTTAAAATCCCAAGAAATTAATTCTCTGAATCCAGGGAAATTTCCTCCTTGAAAATGCGATGGACACTTTGTTCTTTAGTTGATGCGAACTTTTGTTTATCCAAAAGGCAACAATTCTGGTTTTAGACAACCAATTAGCAATTTTAAGTATACCCATAAATAAATTATGCAACCCTGACAAACTAGAAATAATCCTGTATTTCTGAAATAGACCTAATCTTTCATAAAGTATTTTCAAAATGCAGTTGAAAATTAGATAATAGATTCTTCAACTGAAAATGAAATATTTTGATGCATTTTATCTGGTTTTGTAGGGCAGCTAGAAAAGCAACTGTATATACAGAAAATACCATAAGTCCTCACTGCACACACAAAATACTCTTAGAATATAAGTGGCATTCTTCGTACTTATTTCCCTGCGTTTACAAGTAAAATTACTGATTTTATCTTCCTTTTGTAGACCTTGCAGATTTGACTAGAGTAATGAAATGAACACAGTCACAGCACAGACATGAGTTCTGCCTTGAAATCTTCTGTAATGTTAAAATACAAATGTAGTTACTTGCTTGATTTCAGCCTAGGCCTGCTATGAACTATGCCTGGCTTAGCACAGTCCAGGGACTGCTTGGAGAAAGCCACCCTGGAGAGTAAGAGTTTAGCTCTGTGGGTGAAAAGCATGCAATAGCAGCTGGCCCTGAGGGGCTTGAGAACTCTGTTCCAGAATACATGCCTCCTTATGAATCTTACATCCCTTCTGAACTCTTTTTGTGGTTTTCAAAATATTTCCAGAATATTTTTATGCATTTATCTTTCTAGCTTCCCCACGGTGTAAAGAAGTACAAATATACTTAGTTTATGGGTGGTGAATTGAGTTACAGATATCTATATCACCTGTTACAGTTGTGCTTGAGTTTCTAATTTTATGGAGCCAAACGGCTGAAGCTAATTCTGTCTGCAGTTCCTAAATATTTGAATACTTGAACTGTTACTTCTGTGCTTGAGCTTGCATGCCTGGAGAACCAAAGGGTTTACTCCAGATAACAGCAAGAGTGTTAATGATGACAACCCTCTTCACATTTCTGTGTCTTGCATTGCCTAGTGATAAATGACCTTTTCCCCTGTTGAATCATGACTGCACACTCACAACAGGCAGTATGAGTCAGTCTTTTATTTTGTAGATTGGAGAGAGTCCACTGTTTCTATCAAAATACCACAGCAGGAGGAGGAGGCAATGATGTACCAGCACTCAAAGGCACATCTTTGTCAATCAACAACCTTCAGCAGTAAGATAAAGCTCACCACTGAGGCACTACCATTGCCAAGGAAGAGTGAAGCATTTCTATCCTGGGACCAAATATGATGATGAGGACCACAGAAATTTTATATGAAGATATGGGTAAAAAGAAATACTGCTAGAGCCAAATTGAGTACCAGTTATGATCATCAGACAGGAAAAATAGGGGTTCACTTCCTATTTCTTATGATAGTGTGGAAATATTCAATGGCATCCAGGAGTTCCCTCCTAAAGATATGCATTGACCATAGTGCTATAAAGTTATGGAATCTTTTTTCTCTGACTCAAAGAACATCTAGAAAAAAATCAACAGGAGGGATCCAAAAGAACTTTCCCTGAAAAATTTCCCTAAACAGTTTGGTAGGACTTCCATGAGAGATGGGTGCATGATAAGGATTCAAATCATCTCTGTCAGAGAACCTCAGTCCTTGTTAAGAAGGACAAGTGAACTAAACATGAGTCTATTCTTTGACAGCAAGAGGAGACAACTGGACAGAGAAGAAAGTGCTACCTGTTACTCCCTTGCTTCATATTAAGCCTAATTTACTAAACAGCCTGTAAATATACCTAAAAGTATTGATCTTAGCACTCAAGATAGGTAATTAGTGGATTCTTAACAGTGCCTAGATGTGTGGGAGCATCCAGCTTCTCAGCACATTCAGAAGAGGATGCTCTGGAGATGTTCACAAGTAAGAAATAAAAAACTCACCTGATCCTCAGGCCCTTTACTGGAACCTTCATCAAATCCACAGGCAATGGTGTACGGTGGGAATGGTTCTGACCAATATGCCTCCTGTGTACAGTTTCTCTGAAGGAAACCTTTAATGGTAAAATATATCAGAGAATGAATTATGCGGGGGGGGAGTGGGGGGGGTGGGGGGGGTGTAATTTCTTATGAGAAAAAAACAGATTTTTATACCTACTTTGATCCTGAAGCTAGGCTAGTCATGTTCAACTAGATTAGCTATAGATTTATAATATTCTGTAATATAATGCATCTACTGTCTAAAAAGTTGAGAGATTCCCATTCATTTCAAGATGCAGTGGAACTCATACATTTCACATAGGAAATTAATTCTGCAAATTCAATCCTTACACAGAGGAAATAAAATTATGCAGTCTATCCTGCGTTTACAACATAATTTGTATTTGCAGACAAAGCCCATGTCATCTAGCTTTGTAGTTACATACAATTCTTTAACTGTTCTGACTGGAGGATTGGATTAGATGACCTAGTGAGCCTGTTCAGCCTGGAGAAGAGAAGGCTGCATGGAGACCTCATAGCAGCCTTCCAGTATCTGAAGGGGGTCTATAGGGATGCTGGGGAGGGACTATTTGTTAGGGAGTGTCATGACAGGACAAAGGCTAACGGGTTAAAACTTAAACAGGGGAAGTTTAGATTGGATATAAGGAGGAAATTCTTTCCTGTTAGGGTGGTGAGGCACTGGAATGGGTTGCCCAGGGAGGTTGTGAATGCTCCATCCCTGGCAGTGGTCAAGAACAGGTTGGACAAGGCCTTGGGTGATATGGTTTAGTGTGAGGTGTCCCTGCCCATGGCAGGGAGGTTGGAACTAGATGGTCCTTTCCAACCCTAACTATTCTAAGATTCTATGATTCTATGACCTCAAAAGGTCCTTTCTAACAGCAATTATTCTATGACTTTATAAATCAGTGATTCTATGTTATATTTCTTTATAACCTTAGCAATGTGCTGCAATTACCTATAATTTTGAGACCACCTTTAGCTGTGTAGTTTGGACTAGACAATTTAGTGCAGAATAACATAAATCAAAAACATGCCAAATATTGACCATAAGCCAAGATTCACATCTGGATAATTATTGTATGTCAACTGATAAAAGATAACATTGTGAATCGGGAAAATAAGCAAGTTACTAAATCTTTAACTATTAGAATTCATTTTAAAAATATGTAGAGACAAAAACAAAAGGAAAAAAGTCTTGCCATGGATATTGGTGATTTCTTCAAAAAATCTTGGACAGGGAACTTTAACCACTTCTCCAAAAGCGGCTGTGGGCCAGCAGGTTAGGCCATCCCAATCTCTGGCACATCCTGGGGGAAAAAAAAAAGTGCTTCTAAATAAATACACACACAGAGAATATCACGTTTGATCTTCCATAATTAGATTACCTGAGACTTTCCCACAAATTCACATGCAAAAAGAGACAAAACAGGACATGCAGCTCTGCAAATGAATGATTGTATTGTTTTCCTCTTCTCCTTGAATACATCGTTGTTCACACATGTGCTTAGCATTCCAGCTGGACCTTCCCTCACCTTATCTCATGAGAGAATGCACCCAAAATTCAAGCAGACACTATCCAAAAGTCAAATCAACTGAAGGTTTTTTATTGTCAAAAGAAAAGTCACCAAATCAAAATAATGAATAATTCTTAGCACTTGAGATTTCTTATTACTAGTTTCAGAGTCTAACTGAAAAACATCAGATTTAAAACTTCAGCCTCAGTCTCTTCATTCCATGCTTAAAGTCTACCAGTTTTGCCTGATATAAAGGATCTGAAGTCCTGGTCATAGGCAATCAATGCATGTTTATAATGGATTTCAACAGGGATTAGATTCATCCCAAACTAGAAGAACATCTCCCAGCATCATATAAAATAACCATCACGTAGGTCTGGCTGGTGGGCCTTCACAGGGTTCCCTATATGAAAGATTGCTACCTGATAACAGAGGGCATGCTACTAGCTACGAGTCTGATAAAATGTGGTTTTGGAAATTATAGTTAATCACAGCTTTGTCATGGATGCATCACATTGAGACTCAAGCTGTGATCTTGCAGGTTTTTTTGGCAAATAGGTGTAGGTGCAGCACAGAAAAATTATCAGCATGTAAAGGTGCCTGAACCTATAAATAAAAGTCACTGCACTGTAACCAAAACTAATCTCCAGGTAGTTGTAAGGTGGATGTAAAGCAGTGCATGAGTTTTGTTTGGGAGCTGTAATTTCCTTTCACCGATTCTTTTCTGTTCCCTCTGTGACTGATGACAAGGCAAACCTAAAATTGTCAAGAACTGAAATGTGGAAGCAATATTACTTGCCTGTAGCTGAGCAAAGTTACTCTCTGGCTTCTGAAAAGATAGTCCTGAAAATTTCCCACAGCTTTACCCTCACGTTGCCTTTGGGAGGATGAAGTTCCTGGTATACCCAATTTGCCAGATGAGAAAAAAGAAACCCTGATTCGTTATCTCTAATTTTAATTGTCTAAAATATGTTAGCTAATCTTAGCTATGTTCCCTCTATAATCAGCTGAAAGAGACAGGGACTTCCAGTGCATGATTCATCCCATATACTGGAGGCTCCTTTCTGACGGCAGGATGAATCACTCACTGGAAATACCTAGGTCTTTCTGATGATTATAGTCTTAACTAGACTGCTAATTTTCAGATTAATAAAGACAGGTAATATGAATCCCAGTTAGACATGCAGTGGCCCACGCACTTAGACTTACAGACTTAAAGGGTCACTCTTAGAGAGACTGTTCTACATTTGATGAGTTGGGTCTAAAAATCTATTGTAAATGGTAATATGTGCTTAAACCAAGAATCAGGTGACCTTATGTAGGAGTGGAATGTGCATGTTTTAAGTCCTAAATCTGGTTTCATTTTCGGTGACTTCTTTTACACACCAAGGTTTTCAAGAGATAAGTGATAGCCCAAGCCACCTGAGACTCCATAAAGACAACTGCAGTAAAAATTGTATTAACATATTAAGTAACGTTGACATCATAGATTTTTTAATAATCCGGGGCTCTTCTTTTTTTTTTGTGTGGAGGCTTTTTTTTTTTTGGTTGGTTGGTTGGTTTTAGACAGTGGAGAAAAATAAGTATTATTAGAGCTTGATTCAGTGGGTCCATTTTACACATCTACTTTGAGTTGAGAAGAATTGCACCCTGGGGTCTACTGATAAAATTCATTAGACTTTGCTCTGTGTAACAAGAATAATGTGGAACTACTTTAGATTAAAAGTTCTGCAACATAAACTAATTCCAGCACAGCTTATCTATGACTACTGAGAAGTAACTGCACAACTGTGATTCTTCAGCTTGTCTCAATCAGCTCCTGAAAACTGAAATGCAAGCTAGAGACTTTTATCAATCTTAGCCTAACTTTAAAATACTCCAGATAAAATATTTTTGCAAAAAAAGCATTTTCACCACATTGGAATGATTCCCACCACAATACAATTTCAGCATGCTTTTCGTTGTTTTCTGTGGAAGCTTCTTTGGAGTTTTAGATATAAATAAAAAACACACCAAATAATTTAGGATTGCAAGATATTCCAGGTAGGGTTTACCTGCCCTAATTAAGCATTAAAACTCATCAGGGTCTGAAACAATTATCTTTGTCTCATTCCATAGTTAGTAGATAAAATTTACTCCAGAGAAAAATTAATCCCATTCTAAAGTAAACATCTAAACCAAAGGCAATCAAGCATGTTCTGATTTAAGACACTGAGCTTTTAAAGATGTCCAAAATGAGATGACGTAAAGTCCCATCCTATAGAATAATACTGTTAAGAAACCAAATAAAAAAGGACTGTTACCTTTAAATGATATAGAAGGGATAAGAGAGCAATCATTCTTTTCTAAGCAGAGAGCCTCCTCTTTGACCACTTGCTGGAATATCTTGCATTCTGGATGGATTCCCACAACCTCAATGAGAAAAACACAAAAAAACACACAAAGTTCTGTGATTACTGGAATGAGAATGAATGGATCATTGGAATAAGGTTTCTTTCCATTTTTTATATGTTGTGGCTGATAGTTTGAGGCTTAAAAATGTGAAAACTACAGGAGAAGATGTGTCTGCAAATAGGACCTGTAAACATTAGAAGGAGGCTGCAATCTCATATGTTTGTCAATTTGTATACACATCTGCATATGCATAGGTGTATGGATTCCTCAGTGTATTGTAATAGTCAAGCTCAGTAACACATCTTTTCCAGGTTGCATATTTCTACCACCTCCTTTTTATACCAATGATTTTCCACAAAACTTAAATGGATTTGGTGAATGGGAATACTCACACTGAGTCCCCCAAATGTACATGCAGTCTGACCATATAGATATTTATTCCCCACAAACCAAATTAAAATACATACATTTCTTTAAAGATACATGTTTGCTTGTTTGTTTGGGGATTTTTAGATAATTATTTTGGGGGTTCAGAACTACCTATTGGCAAAATATTCCTATTTTGATTCTTGGGAGTTCCCAAGAATTAAGTTTTCTTTATTGAAGGAATTAGCCATAACAATAAAGTCTTAATTACATTTCAGGAAGGTGGGCCTACTCTGCTTTGACACTGATACTAACAGAATGGGCTCCTGGTCTTCTTTGAAAATTTGAGATTTTAGTGGCATACAAATGAGACTACTGAGAGAGCAGGGTGTAAGCTCTTCCCTTCTGAATGCAGTTGGCATAATTATAAAAACAGAAGCAATAAATAGGGAAGAAGTTTTATGTCTGTTGTATACTTAAATAAGAAATCCAGAAGTTCAAGAATAGATAAAATAGAAAAATGGTAATCTTGGTCATAGTTTAATATGAGTGATCGCAAAATTTTACCAACATATTATATGAGAATGCTACATACTCCTTAGACAGAGGCAATGTTTCCATTTTATCAGGTGAAGAAATAAGAAAAATTAATAACTTGTATGGGGAGTTTAAGTAATTATATTTATCTCACAGATTAAGATACCTACATTTAAACACATAAATGGATTTCTAAGCATCAGTTGTTGGATATGGGCTAGATTCATCTTCCTAACTACAGATACTTGTGTCTATACTACTACAATGACTAGTGTCATTTAGGTGCTGTCAAGTTTTTTGCTTGACCTTCATCTCCCACTCCAGAAAGTTTCATGTTCCCTTTAGTCCTTCATCACGTCTGTGATTGTGAAGATGTTCTTAATGCATCCCAAATTATTGTCTCTGGAAAGGCAATTCCATTCTAAGAAGGAATCTACAATGTCAGTATCTATGTGTGATCTTGTTATCTGAGCTTCTTTTGCAGTACATGGAAAAGGAATGCTTAGTGCTGTTTGGGATGCTGCAGGGTATCTCAGTATCTCAGTCCTCTTCTGTACACTCTGTATTAATTTTGCCAGCCCCATGCAGAAGTCTCAAGTGCTTTATTTGATGTCTCAAATATTTCTACATACCCATGTTAAGTAACTGAATTAGACACAAAGTTAAAAGAGTCAATAGAGTCTGCAAAGCAACTGGAATGTAATCAGACAACTGAATACTGCATCAAAGCCTCCTTTGGGATATTGGGATCTTCAGCACATAGGAAGTCTTATATGGAATAGAGCTCTTTTGCAAGCTATGCTATTCAAGGCAGAGAAAGGAGCTCAGAGGGTAGTGATTTTAAGAGAAATGATGGATTGAAGGCTTTCTGAGACATTTCTGAGGAAGACTGTAGGCCATTCTAAACCTCTAATGACTTTGAAAACACAGTACAGAAGAAAATATCACTGCTATATTGCCTTTTCAGTCTCAGGAATTTGATTTATCAGCCTTCAGAATGTTTCCAGTAAGCAGTGCAACCAGGACTTCTTTCAGCCTCCACAGAAACTTTACTTGAAGCCATGCAGACTTTTGCATGTTAGCAGTGATATCTGCTGAGGGGAAAGAAAAAACAAAAAAAAACACAACTATCTTTTTAAACCTTTAAAAATACTGCCTACATTTGGATTTCAAAGTAGCATAGACAGGCTACTTTTGATTATGAGGCCCTAGACATGGTTTGTACCTCTTAATATTAGAACAGAAAGAGGATTAAGGATGCTGTTTGAAAAGAAAATTGAGACATGGCCTTTTGCATGCATTGTATTCCTCTAGTAGGTAATTTCAAATGCATTTAAAAATTAGCATAAGTCACTCTTAAAATAGTACTTCTTGCTTTTCAACTATCATAACACAATTCTAAAATGAAATTTTTCAGGTATTAATAGGATCCCTGCTCATTGCTTTATCTTAACATATATTTCACTTTAAAGTCAGCCTACATAACAAATGAATTATTTGAGTAGTAGTAACAAAATGATTGTTGTGTACATATCTCACTATTTCATTTCATAAAGATGGATGCAGCTGGACAGGAAAGAAGTAATTTCTCTACTTTCTGGAATTTTTATTATAGGCTAGTGCACAGGCTAAATATTACTGACACTTTAGTGTTTGAAAATCAAATGTAATTGCAAATGTAAACTACAGACTATCACATAAGAAGCTAAAATGAGGCTGATGTTAACTTGCAATCATGTAGCCTTACTAGAAGTAATCCCACTGTTACAAAAAAAAAAAAAAAAAAAAAGAAAGGGAAAAAAAAAGACATATACAACAAATTGAGAGCAGTGATGATGCTTCAATTTGTTGGTTTTCCTTAGGCTTTAAGAAAGAGGAAGACATTAAACCATTTTACGGTTAAAGAAAAACCTTCTGGGCAGAACATCACTTGTGATTTGTTGGCTATGGCTTACTTGTTTTTTGTTATTAATCTCACAATACCTTGAGAGAAAAGTGCATGCTGTTGCTCTAATCTGCCTACAGTGGTTAGGTGATGGGGTTTTCTAGAAGACAGGGTCCCTGTGTTTGCTGCAAAGACATAGTACTGCAATTTAGGAGGCCTCTGCTGTGATGACTGAGCTCTTGTAGGAAAAGAGAAGCTCCTGTTGAGCTTCTGTACAATTATCCCCCTAGAAAAGGATAATTTAGGAAAAAAAAAAAAAAAACAAACCAGAGATTTCTGAAGCAGGGATGTCCAATCTGGCAGTTTTCCATACCACAGTAATAAGTGTAAGAGGCTGATTTGAAATTCTTCTCAGATCAACATTTCCTAGTATATAAGCAACAACCTGGCATGAACCTTACTGAAAATAACAGTGGGGTGCCTTCATCCCAAGGCTTATACAGAAAACTGAGGTTCCATGCAGCGTTGCAGACTACTCAACAAATGGAACTTTACATTGCTCTGCATCATAACACAAAGATCTTTCTGCTACTTTGAACATTAATGACCAGCCAAAATTCACAGAGGTGTTTTAACTCTAAGTCCTAACCATGGAAACAATCTTGCCCAGAAAAAGGTAATCGCATAGTGAACATTAAAAAGTTACCTATGACAGGCACTGGTATGCTAAAAATCTGAAACAATTTAGAAAGTCAGATTTTGGGCTTGCACTTACATTTAGACTTTGTTTTCTTAACATCCGTGAGGCTATGCATTGAAACCCTAAAGTGGCATATTCACTGATAGTAAGTATAACACTCTTTTGCATTCATTTTATACATGATAGCTTACTTATTTGCTCAAATCTGAACAGAAAAACTGCACTCTGGGCTTTCATTTGTTCATGTTGGACAACATCACAGTTAGCAAGCACTGGGAAGAGACTTCTTCTAGAAACATCCTCAGGCCATACTTAGTGCAAATTAATTAAAAGCAATCTTTCCTGAGAGCCCACCCAAAGATGGTGCCCATAGGCTACTGCAGTGTAGAAAAGCTGTAATTTAGATGTCATAGAAAATACAGATTTACACTCATTAAGAAATACACTTGGGGAAAGTAGGAATGCTTTCTGTGCTCTCAGAAAACAAGGGAAGTGTTTCAAAGCTGGGCACTGAATGTATTACTCATTCTTGAAAAAGCAATTCAATGGAATCAAAGAGCCAGAAGTAAATTGGTAACAATCTTTTTGAAAATTAATAAAAAATCAAAGAAGTGTCTGAAATAATTGGCAAGATGGCAAGGTTTCAAGAGCTGAAGGGTCTTTCCAGTTTCATTTCCAATGTCATGAAATCCTGAAACTTCATAAATAGGTTTTGTGTCAAGCGTATAGATAATTTACTAAGATTATTCATCACTGTTCTTTTTGCTTCTGTTTCTACAGCTTTCATTCATGTCTCAGATCTCCTCAGATGTGCTCTGAAATCATCTCTGTATTTCCTGTTCTCCCTGTCTGTGCTTCCCCTGTTCATTTTTTTCTGCTATGACTCTGATGCCTGAATATTTCCTTTATACAAAACCAGAGCTACCTGCCATTCACTTCACACATCGACTCCCCACTTGGAGGATTAAAACTCACCTTGTGTTTTAGGAAACAGAAAGGCATGGTAAGAAACTCCTTCATTCCCTGCCCATTTTTAGCTGTGGAAGGAAGTATTCACTCAGTCCTGAAAGCTGGCCAGTGCAGAGAACCAGGGTATGCTCTGAAATGTATACAGTTTTTTCAACTGGAACTTTGGTGAACAGAAAAGTCTTATAGGATGCAAGGAGGCTCATGAAAAATGAAGAAGACAAAGAAAACCTCAGCTTTTTTGATAAATTTCTCGGTCTGTTGAATATATTGTGTCAAAATTCATTCAGAATTTCTCAAAATGACAAGCACTGAAGTTAGGGCAAATGTTCACATGTGTTTTAAAGGGAGCTGGGACTAACCTCAAGTTCTGTTAGCTCTTGTCCATTTCAGCAGAGCTACGATCACAATTGTCTCTGTAAGGATCTTCCTACCTACTGTGCTCTATACATAATTCTGGGATATTTGTAACATAATATGCATAGCATTATGTTCTGTCAGAAAAATAAAAGAAACTATAAAAAATAACCAAAGACTTCTTATGCAGCAAAGAAGTGCACCGCACAGATGCATTTGAAAAAATAGATGAACATCCAGTTTGTTCCTACTATATCCAAGCCACATTTTCAACTCCTGATTCTGATTGCAAAGCACGAGGTCACCATAACAGTGATGTGACGCCAGTCACCAGCAACATATTTAGCTATTATAGAAAGTCCTGCCCCCAACTTCAAGCTCTGACACAGTCTTGATCCCTGAAGCTTTCAACCCCAAAGGTAAAAACCTATTTCCAATCTTTCTCTTCAGCCAATTAAATAGATTATTTCAGGAGTCTTTTTGGCTTAAAATGACTACCTAGAGGACATTTTCAGTGTTTGTTTTCTCTTTCTAACTTGATTACCTATGGTTCAAGAGAAGCTGAGACACTGATTGCCTTGCAGTCATTTAGAGGAATATCTTTTCAAGATTGTTTTAAGACATTGGAGTAATGCTTGGATGCTCCTGTGTGTACTGGATTGCATTTATCTGACTGTATTTAACTGCATAATCTTACACAGAACAGTACTTACTGTATATACATATCTATGTATATCACTATATGTACTTATAGGTAATCTATATGTGACAATGCAGCCATTCTAATTTATATTGTTTATAAATCCTACATAGTGCGATCTTGAGAAAAATTACAATTAGTTTATTAGCTGTATGCTAAGTTTGGTAGAGCATTAAGCCATCAATAACAAGGAATAACAGAACTCTAATAACTGAGGATCCTTGTTTTCTGCTATTGCAAGTATTCCTTCATATTAAAGAGAAATTTCTCCATTTCTGCATATATAGTATGTTTACTGAAAAGTGGGGTTCATGTCACCTAATCCCAAAGAAATGAAACCTAGATGTCAAAGACCATCAGCAAGTTCATTCAGCTTTAGCCCTAGCCGTTGTTCTTGGAGGGTTTTACCTCTTCCCAGTAGTATTGAAGGAGGATAAATGAGTAGCTTTAGAGAAGATTCCTGATTATAGATAGATAATTTTAGGTGATTAATCTAAACTCCCCCATAAAGCTTTCCTTAATGATCAATGAAGGCGGTAAAACAGTTTCAGGGAAGTATTCCTCCTACCTCCCTCAGACACCTATTTGAGGACAGTGACTCAATGTACAGGAGCGTGTCTCCCCCATGAATTCTCTACAGGCTAATGAAACACCTAAACAGACCAATTCTTCTACACCTTCAGTTCCCTATGGAGGGTAACTTAAGGTCTGTAAGGACTAGGTCCCTAGAAGAAACATGTATGTCCCTCCAACACAAATCAGCCCACACTAGCTATATCAGAAATTTAGGCACCCAGTTCTGTTTTATAGGGAGTTAAATGTCTTGCTATGGATTTAGATCCATATGCTTATTACCACAATAAATGCTTTATTAAAGTAAATATATAGCTCAACAATAACCCATCTATGTTTCCATTTTCACTTCCAATCACTAGATCAAACTGCACCCCTTCCACAGAAATGTGAAAAGCTGTTACATGTTTGAAGCAGCAGTAGTTTAGCTCAGAAGGAAAGACTGAGTGCAGCCTTTTCTGTTCCACATCCCCGGTTTCCTGAGACTCTGAACTCTTTAAGACAGGGAAAAAAAAAGTCATTTTTACACATTTCAGCACCCACTGCTCCCTGTTCCTTATCACTTACAAGCAAATGGTAATTTTTAATGTCAAGGACTCTATTCTGCCAGGCACAAAGTATTATCCAGCAACATACAGCTCCCTGTAGAGCTGATAGGAGGTAAAAGTATCCAGTTTCACAGAGAAAGTTTTCAGGATTACACTTCTGGTTTATTTTCATATCTGAATAATGAATTTTTTGCAGAATCCACACTAGAATTATTTTTTTGCTCTGACATTATCCTTTGAAATATGAGAGAACTGTTTACTCAATGCACCCTATGGGTGTCTGGCCTTCTCTGACTGTCTCACTTAGGGTGCAAAGCCTCTCACTAGACCTAGAGACATGAAAGCCACTGATATTTAGAGCACTGACTCTTATCGACATGTAGTTGGATTTCATACGTGAGCAATAGTTTAAGGCCAAAAGCTACGTAGAGCATACCATTTGTAGAATTTCTTTTATTATGGGCACAGTCTGCTGCTGTGTATGATGTGCATGATGCACGGCAGCCCACAGATGTGCATGATAAATCACTTCAGGTTAGCTCCACTGCTGACAGCTGCAAGAACAAGTTGTGATTCTATTACATGTTAAAAGCCTAGTCCAGATGCTAAAGACGCTCTGCCTGTAGCAGTATAACACTTTAGGTTCACCAGTTTCCCCTAAAAGAAGGGTATTACACGAGAATAACCGTACGTGGCAAGGCAAAGACCTATATCCTATCACTTGCACATAAAGCTGTATAAATACAGAGGAAAGAATGAGTTCCAGAGGATATGAGGTACAGGTGTAAAAATGTACATCCTATCTTTAACCTTTTAAAACAGAAGGGTCACAGCCAGTCTGTAATCATCTAGGCTCTCACTATTATCAGGGGAAGAAAACAGAACCACCCTGTCTTTCTCAGGACAAGATGAAATGCCTCCCAGTAAGGTGACTATTTCTCCTTTGGCTACCACAGGATTATGAATTCCAGCCTACACTAGGCATTTAACTGTGAAATGGTTAAAGTTAGAATTAATAAGTCCCTGGGAATCACACACATAGAAAGATTTCCAAACACACACTTTTCCTGAGGCTGAAGAGTTGGGGGGGGGGGGGAAGGATGTATAACTGTACTTGTAATTACACTAGCTTTTGCTATCTAGCCCAGGCAGTGCCAGCATTAGAACATGGGGCTTAGGGAGGGATATATGTGCTTGAATTGTGTCTCTATGTCATACATCTTCCCTGATGTTTAATGTTACAATCTCACCTGCTGCCTCCAGTGCATAGCAGACATGATGGTTCATTCTGCTGCTTGGTGATATTATAAGCAGATGCCTGCAGCAGTAAATACATCAGTGGCCTCTCAAAGAGGTAAATGTCTCAAACACATAAGGAGGAACTATTCCTTTTTAGTTCTCTTCCTTCTTTAGCAGAGTTGCCTTTCTCAGGACAACTGGGACAGAAAGCTGTCCCCTTCTGTCCCTCTAAAGTCATGCTACAGCTATTCTGATTTAGTGATGCTTTTCTGTCCTTTGGAAACTGCAATTCTAATGAATGGAAATGAAAAGACATTTATAAATAGCACCTCAGGGCTGGAAAAAAAAAAATATAAAGAGAGGGGTCAAGCCTCTAACTCAGGATTATTTTTTTTCTTTCCTCTCCTCCTACATCCCCATCCCCCTGTTTATAATTCCCTCCTTATTCTTCTTTCTTTCTACCTACTCCCTGTTACGAGAAAAGTTACCCTGCCTCTGCAGACATGCCTCCCCGGATCCTGCAGGGCAGCTGCAGTGCCGTCCAGCTGTGGGCAATAGTTTCAAGAGCCAGCTGTGTGGTCCACCGCCCCACCCCCTCCCCGAAATTCCGCCGGGCACTCACCGGCGGGAGCAGCAGCCAGCACAAACTTCGCATCCTCCGCAGCAGCCGCCAGGTCCTCCCCGCTCTCTCTGCTTGCTGTGAAGCTGCCAAAAGCCGAAGCTCGGCCCGCCTCCACCTGCCCAAGACCCGCCTCAGAGAGCCTTGCACCTCCCTTACCGGACACCCCGATCCCTCCCGGGGGAGCCCGGCACTTTCGCGCCCCACGGTACCAAGCTTGCAGCGGAGGGAAGGAGATTCCCAAGCATCCCCCCTTGGGATTTTGGACCCATCAGTAGGAACAGCTCCTCTGGTCACCCACCTGCTGGGAGCTGGAGCAGTTTGAGGGTCTTTAAGGGTGTGTTTGGAAGCACACTCTGCAAGAAAATATGCTGGGTTCACTGCCCTGCTAATGCGGCCATGCTTGTGGCTGGTGGCAGCAGGTTTCAAAGGATCTGGGCTTTAAGTGGGTCTGACAGCATGGTATTCCCTGGGGACTCTAAAAGATGGAGTTTCTGTGTTTTGGTATCTCTCTCTTCTCAGATGGAAAATTTCAAGCAGTGACAAAGAATTTCCTACACAACTTGAATAAGGTCTTTCTGGCCCCCATGTTAAAAAGGTGACTCAAATGTAGCTTTATTTCCTGGCGAAATAGTTAAAACTCTTCTTGCTTATTTCTTGGATTATTTTGAGGGGGATGAGAGGGAGGAAAAAAATGCGTAGGACCTAGGCACCAGTTCTGGGCTTTGCCACAGTAAATATTGCACCAATATTTATGTCACTGACTATTTCTGAGCCTGGGAGAATAGAACTTGTGGACATGAAAAAAAAACATTTTTTCTGGATAAGATTTTAGTGCTATTTCATACCCTGTTTATCATTCATTATTTCTCAATGGTGTTAAACACAAAAGTTCTGTATATTCAGAAGAAATTCAGGATTCACCTATGTTACCCCAAAACAAGCATCTAATACCATTAGAGGAAATACAGATTTCTGCAGCTTTCTCTATAAATGTATAACTATCTTGTAAGTTCTGTATTTTTTTTTTTGCTAGCTCCACCTAGATATTTCAGATATACAGGGGCACCTTGAGTGGCATTTCTTACCTATTTTTAAGAAACTAAGTCATGTCAGTGTTATCTATTAATTCATCTCTTTGCACCCTGACAGTCCTGACTACTTCACTCTGTTGTAATGGGAATCTAGACAGCTTGTAAATGTTTGGACAGCTGTGTTAAAATGCTGAAATGTGAGTGGTTTGTGTCAGGATGCACCCTACCTTAGTCTTGCAAATCAAAGAAATATGTGTTTAAAATCAAATATTATCCCCAGGCTCATGCTAGATAGCCAGTCAGTTCTACAACTTGTGCTGAATAAAGAGGATGACAAAGGGATAGATCAGCGGGATAATATTTGTAACCCAATATTCATTTACCCCTTTTTTTCTATATGTTTGTCTTTCATTAGTGCATAATGTCATCTCATCACTTACCTGTACAGATAAGCCTCAAATGCTACTCCAAAACTCAAGTTTGTTATAAAATAGATTAAAACATTAAAAAAAAAAAAAAAATCTGATTTTGACTGTTTCCCCATCTGTTACGGATGAGTTAAAGCTGTGGCCAACTTTCACTAGTCAACAAGGTGGTTCTTGTCACGCTGGAACAATTTTTAGGATACAACTACAAGGCAAGCACCACAGGGTATCAGGCAGTTCCTAATTCTAATGCAAATTAAAATGCAACGTAGAGGCCTATCAAATACCCCCAAGATAGGAACAGATTATAATTCCTTCTGAACAGTATTCAACCAAATTTAGTGTAAAATATCATAGAATAACAGAATAATTTAGGTCAGAAGAGACCTACAAACATCTGGCCCCAACCATCTCCTCACCTCAAAATAGGTCAGATTGCAAAGTCAGGTCATGTTGCTCAGGGATTTGGTTGCTGTGTTTCAAAAAGGTTGATCTCAAGAGTCACAATGTAAACACAAAGATGCAATTAATTTAGTATCTGCATAGCATTCCCATCTACAACATTTCAGCTGGATTCCATTATTTAAGGCCTCTCAGGTCATTTTCATGAAGTCTTTTTGGTCTTCATAACCAGTCTCCAAGTTTGGAGCAAACCTAAGTGAGAAGCATTACTTTTGGTATTTTTTTTTTGTATAGTTTCATGATGGGTGTTTGTAAGCAGTCCTTAGGAAACGGCATTGCTTCCTTGGGCAGATATTGTCTGTCAGTGCTTCCTTACATATTTTCTCTCTTCTTTCTGCTTTTCCTGTCTGATCTCCAGCTCGTCTGAAAAACAGACCACATTCCAATCCTTGAGCTCTAAATTAATTATCTGGAGACTTCTCTTATAAGAGTTTTTGACCATGTTAATCAAGAGAAAAAAGCCTGCTCTTGTTGGGTTTTTGTAACAATTCACTCTAGTTAATGTTATAAACCTTGCCTACATTAAAGTATCAGAGTTCCTTAGTCTACTTATATTCTTTCATTACTTTAAACAGTTCCTTTTGTAAACTGAAACCTAATTTAGTCTAAAATCTGATTTCTTTTTATCATATTCATTTACTTTATTCATTCTACTCTGTTATTTCTCTGCATGTACCCAAAGAAGATCCAATAATAAAGTAATGCAGGAAAGTAACCATACTTCTCATAATCTCATGTATGCTTTGATGCATTTTGCTACTTTTTGTCACAAAAATAGTTCCTTGCCTAATAAACTGGCTATAACAAAGCTTTTTTTTTCTTTCTTCAGCGATTATAATATTGCTAATCTAAGATAAGGATCATATTCATTTTCCTGCTGCTCTACAGCACCAATGTAGGCTCAGAATATAACTCTGATGTGCATAAAAATGTCCTGTTGTTAACATCAACAAGCAATCAAGCCATCTCTACAGTATGAAACTTAATCAATAAAGCAATAGACCTGAGATTCTTCCTAATCCCCATCATGGATATTCTGAATCAACTGATACCATTTGATGAAAATGACTTGACATTTAGTGAGCTGCTTAGAACCTCCGCAGAAGCTGGAAAAAGTTTTTTTGATACCAAATATACCTGAATAAGGCTTTTCCATAACAGAAATCTTTTGAAATGCAGCTGTGCTTCTTCTGTGTGCATATACAAGCGCCTCTTTAGACAACAAAAGTGTAGAGCACTGGCACCACATTGCAATATGAACCATCAGCCAGAGAATAAAGATGAATCTATTGATATTTCTAAACAATCTTTTGATAAATCTGAAGAAAGATGCAAAACAAAAAGCCCTGGGAATATGGGAAGAAGGCTGCAATTACTGAAAGCACATAATCCAGTAGTTAGACAGAATATGACATTACTGAGAAACATATTGCATCTATAACTGAAAGCAAAACTCCACTGTATTTTAAAAATTGTATATAGGAAAGATAGAAGCTTTATTCCTGAGGATGATCTCTGTGTGATTTTTGAGAGAGTAGGATGAAGGCAGGAAACTAAAACAGCTGAAGGAATGCATTGGTTTTGAGTCTAAAAAGGTAAGTCATTAAATATCAGAAAACAAGTACTTAGAGATGCATGATAGTTTTTCCAATTCATTTTCTTTGTGTGCACTCCCTGTGTTATCCACTTTCTATTTTGATTAGGTAAAGTTGACTCCTGCTGTGCTGGGGCTCTCCCTCCCTATGTACACATAGTCTGTTGCTGCTACTTGGCTGACTCCAGGAATGCCATAGAAATACAGGCAGAGTTTGTCACACAGTCATGGACACTTGATTCATATGTATTCAGTCCCATGTGTTTTAATCTGTAAACTTAATTCCATCCAAGCATCTAAGATGCTTTCTAAATTTGAAAAATATATTTTGTCTGTACCTACTTACCACAAACATACTAATTAGAGTCTTTTAATAAACTCCTTTAATTATTTTAGCATTTCTACTCAAAAAAATTCCACACAAAACTGTTAGTGATCCCTTCTCTATTTCTTTTGTATTGCACCTCTTGAATAAGAAAGTCATTTTTCAAACCTAAGGAGTTACTTCCCAGTGATACACAATGCAATCTTCATTCCTGTTAATAGTCCTTAAAGAGTTGACAAACCAGCTGTTCCTGTTCTCAGAAATAGTTTTGTGCATTATATTATTCGTTTGTTTTCTTGCTTTCCTCTGGCCGTTTCAACTCCATTTCATTTCTGTTTGTTTTCCAATATGAGTAGATCAACACTGATTTTTATTCACTAAAATATGGTTTTAAGACTAAAATTGCTCCCCTTATGGGGCCAATGAAAGGTCTATGTTTCTTCTAAGTATAGGTTGAGCCTACAAAATCAAAGATACGTAAAAAAAAAGAGCATAGAAGTTCAATTACTAGTGTATACTAGTGTCTGCTTTTTTTATGTTTAACAAAAAGCAGGGCATCTTTTGTCCAGACATTCTCTTTCATTATGCCAATTTCTCCACTGATTGTAGAAAGGGCTCAGATAGAAAGTTCACCCCTATAGTAGCACTTGTCTTATCAAATTTCAGGTATTAAGAATATAAATATGTGAACTGATTATTCCATCTTATTTTCATAGTCACAGAAACCATTAAATTCAGTTTGAATGATATAATTTAGTTTTCTACAGAGGACAACTTAGTAAATTCCTCAGAATTTACTCCTCTCCAGCATCTCTAAAAGGAGGATAGAATTATCGCCCAGATGTAGATGTTTATTTTAAGGGTGAAAATCCACACAGTGGTATGGATAGCTAATGCAGGCATCTATCTGGATGTGTAAGCTGGAAAAGTGAACTCCTGCTGTGGTTAATAACCAGTCTAAACGAATTACATAGGCTTCCTTTAGAGTTAAGGGAATGTCACAGAAAATTCCTGTTAGATACTCATTTGTACTGAATTTGGGTGGGAGGAACTGAATCCTAAGTTATTTTGTCTCTCAGAAGTGACTTCAAAGGGAGATGCGAGGTGGAGTTGTTAAAGAATTGAGAAATGTAGGTATTAATACGTAGGTGTCTAGATGCAGATTGCACGGTTAAGCTTCCTTTGGGGTCACAAATAATTTAAAATGGCGCCTTCATTTAGCCTGTTGACTGTTCTTTAGGATACATTGACTGTATTGACTAAGATCCCATACAACTTTACACTTCAAGGCTCAATTAAGTTGCCCAGTAACAGGTGACCTGTGCTAATTGAGATCGCTTAATATATTTAACATTCACAGGAGGCTGGCAGATATGCAACATGGGCACTGAAGGCACAGTAGGTTGAGGCTACCTGTGTAAATGGAAGTAGATTCCTTTGTGTGGGAAAATGAATCAAGGCCTGAAATCAAATAATATAAATCCCAACCACATTAGATATCTGGTCTAGGTTGACT